CTACCCGCCTACCCATCCATCCATCCATCCACGCACTTACCCACCCATCCACCCACCCATCCATCCATCCATCTACCCACACACTCTCCCATCCATCCTCCCATCCATCCATCCATCCATCCATCCATCCATCCATCCATCCATCCATCCATCCACCCACCCATACAACAAATATTTACCGAGTCCCTACTATGTTCCAGGCACTGGTATCTAAGACACCGAGAAAAAAAAAAAAAAAAGCCCAGGACACTCATAAACCACAAAAGACAAGTAGTGATAGTGGAGCATCCTGGTTAAGTGCGAGGGCGCCTGGGTTCAGATCCTGAATCCTTGCTGTGTAACCTGGGGCCAGTGACTTCATTTTTCTGAGCTGCAGTTCCCTCTACTGTGAAACAGGGATAATAAAAGTACCTGCCTCATAGGGCCGTTAGGAGGCTTACATAGCTAACTGCTCAAGGGATGAGTCTACCTTCAAAATAAATGCAGAATCCAACCACTTCTCACCGCCTCTCCTCCCATCACAGCCACCATCATCTCCCGCCTGGAGGACTGCAGTCATCTCCTCTTCAGGCTCCCTGCTCTGCCCTCACCCCAACCAGTGTTCCCCACAAGCAGCCACGGGATCCTGTCAACATCTAAGTCACCTCATGCCCCTCTTCTGCTCAACACCCTCCTGTGGCTCCCGCCTCACTCAGAGTCAAAGCAAAGTCTTCGCTGTTGCAGTTTTACAAGACCCCATTCCTCAGCCCAGCCTGCTTCTCCGACCTCATCTCCTGTCACCTCCCTCTGATCACCAACCACGGGCCACAATGGCCTCTGCTGTTTCTATAGAGAGCTGTGCACACTCTGGCCTCTGGGCCTTTGCACTGGCTTTTCCCTCTGCCTGGAACGCTCTTCCCCAGTGGTCCACAGGGCTCCCTCCTTCTTTCCATTGGGTCTTGCTCAGGTGTTACTTTCTCAGTGGGGTCATCCTGGTCTCCCCATTCCCCTTCAACACCTTTCTCAGCTTTGTTTTTCTACAGAGCATTTCTCACTCTCTGACCTTTAATTTGCCATACACTTAAGTGTAAGCTCCCCAACAGCAAGGGCTGTGCCTATTTTGTGCACTGTTCAGCGTCTAGCACTTACAACAGTGTCTGCCATGTGGTAGGTGCTCAATGAACATTGGCTGAAGGAAGGAATGAAAACTCTTCATTGCTGTTATTCTGTTCCTCCCCAGTTACATCTGCATTCCCTCCCACACTCCCACACAGATAAACAGTCCCCCTTTACACACCCAGCCCAGGATACACTCCCCACCCTGGTCAGCTGTACATCCCAGGCCTGCCTGCCCCACTCTGGAGATCTTCTCCCATCCCAGGAGCCCTGCCTGGCAGAGGCAGCATGTCCATCCATATGCCACTAATGCATCTGCCCTC